ACGCCACTTGGCAGAAAGGTGGTCCAGAATGTTTGTCGGAGCATGGGCTACTTTAAATTTGGCGGCACAGCCTTTATTGTTATTTTGCAGACGATTTTCGTGTCGACTGTGAGCTGTGCCGCCATTGGGGGCTAAGCAGAAGGACGGGGGCAAAGCAGAATTGCGCCGGGGGCGTAGAGGAACGACGGGAGCGAAGCAGATTTTTTGCGGGGGCGAAGCAGAACGGGGCGGGGGCGAAGCAGAACGGCGGGGGCGAAGAGGAAGGAGTTTCATGGGGGTGAACAACATCAATTCCAACGTCCGGATTCTGTATTCGAATTTTCGAAAGGGGCACACGCGGTTAGGGCGAAACGCGTTCGAATCGTTTTATGGAAGCCAGGGAAGCGTTCGATAACGGGTTCCGGACCGGGCCGTACCGTACCGTACGGCAGCTCCGTACGGCCCGGTCCGGAACCCGTTATCGAACGTTATCCCGGCCCGGGTATGATATAATAAATTTTGCCTGATGGCTAAATTCTCCAGCTCAAAGTTAAACTACTAACAGGGGGTGCCCTAATTCCGACCCATCCCTAATACCGAACTACTTTGAAAAATCCTTGTTGCGGCGTTATGCATGGGAGCACGTGCCTAAAAATAACCACAAGAATGGACAATGTTTTTGTGTTGATATCGGTAATCTCACAAAGTTTGTTCGTACACTCCGACAACAGACGAGTGAAAAATCTGTGTGAATTCGACGCTTGTTCGGGGTTGACGAGCGTGTCAAAAATGCAGGTTTTGCTTTTCAAACAGTCGCTTTGGAGCAAGTCGCGTAATCGTAAAAAGAAGACTTGTTTGGAACAGAAAACAGTTGTAGATTGTTTTAGTCATAATTTGTGTATTATAATTTCTAAACTCTCTTCTCAGATCGACCTGTGTTAAACACTAGGTCGGAATTAGGGCTCCCCTGTTGCGATAGAACGTTCCACCGGCAAAATGACCAAAAACCTGCCGTAAGTTTCGCGAACCATTACGCTTGGGCGCAAGCCGCTACACTCAAGTGAAATACACAGCTGTACAGCTTTAATCGTTGTGATCTTTATCTGTCAATATTATATCTCATGTTGCGCGGGTTTTTGGTCAGATAAACTATTGCCAAAGGTCTATGCGCTTGCATGGAACATAGGTCGGAATTAGGGCACCCCCCGTTATATTTTAGACTAATGTGTATTTTATTTTGAGGAGCTCACTTCGCAAGACCCGGCCACACTGTCCCCGCTGTACTTCTTTATGTCCTGCTAAGGAGTCTGGTGCAGGAGTGCCAGGGAGTCTTCAAACGCTCATACACCACGGCCAGAACACCCCCCAGGATACCCCCCACCCCCGAACCCGCCGTGATGAAGATCAGTGCGGGCAGGTCGTACCACTGCTGCGCGGTCCGCAGGATGTACCAGGCCGTTGCCATGGCGACGTTTCCGGCCAGGGTGAGGAAGGAGTTGGTCCAGAAGGTTCTGTTGTGGTCCATGGAGAACGTGACGCTGAACGTGTCCACGGCAGCGGACAGTACGGCCAGCAGGAACCCCATACAGTCCCGCGCGGAGGGTTCCGACCACAGCGTCACCGTTACCATGACGACCCACTGTGCGCCCAGCGGCAGCAGACACCAGCTTCCAAACGCAGAGGCGAACAGCCCGATCACAAGCACGCGTGCGCAGACCTCTAGAACCTTCCAGAAGAGGATGATAGTGAAGCGGACGGCGATCATCCCAAAGCGCAGGTTTTCCTCCTTGGGCGTGAAGACGTGGAAAGCGACAAGCACGGATTTGATGGAAGCGAGCAGTGACACAGCCATGGACAGGATCTGCACAGCGCTAGCTGCGCCTCCCTGCAAAACGATGAACAACTGCAGGCACAGCTGTGGCACGGACTCAAGTGCAGCTTCGAACAGGTGGAGCACAGCGAGGCCTTTAGCGACGTGGCGCTTGTGCGTCACTTTCATCCGCCGCCACACCCGGAGGAACAGCGCCACGTAGTTGATGACCACGCCCAGCTGGAACAGGTGCAGGACGTACAGCACTGCCCTACCTGCCGTCAGAACATCAGTCTCCTGGGACAGCACTATCATAGACACCACCTGCACGATTACTGACGGGCCCAGGACGAAGCCTAGCGTCAGTCCGAAGTACTGCAGTTGGTTTGCCTGGTAGTACTGCACCGCTAGGAGGATGTCTGGGATCACGTCCCCTCCATACAACGCCAGCGGTATCAGGACTAAACAAATAATCTTTATTGGCCTTTGCTGCCACAGCCATGACATGCAGCCCCGAAAACACGCCGCCTCTACCGCTGCAGGCGTCTCACTCTGTACGGAAGGGCCTTGTGCCGCTCTCGCAGCACCCCGGGCACGGTAGGCCTGCAGAGCGACATCTTGGGAGAGAGTCTGTTTCTTAGTGTCTCCTTGAACGTGGGCACGAGTGGGCACAGGTGCCGCATCCTTGATGTAAGACTGGGAACGGGCTGACGTCGTGGCGTCTCCAGACTGATCCCCAGACTCGCCCTCCTCCTCCTCAATCTTAGCGATGTAGGGATGAACCTGCGCATGGTGCATCAGAAGACTCTTCCTCATCATGTTGTTTATGTGACCCCGCCTCCAGATGGGAAACCACACATGCGGGGCTGATGGTAGCCTCTCTCTACAACGGTTGGAAGTTCCCTCACTGTCCTGGAAATAACAGCACGGTATCGTTAGAGCCGCTTATCTGTATCGTGAAACACAGCATACAGAAATAACAGCATGTATATCCATAAGTAATACAGTAGACACGGCCCTGTTATATAGCCAGACTGAACTCTATTGTGAGCTAGGGAATATATAGTAGTTTTTTTTTAATTTTCAATTTAAATCTCTATCCTTCTAAGAACTAAGATATGAAAAATCCATCTCACAACGTGAAGAATTGTTTACTCTAACTGCTGTTTTAAGCATCCCCCCCACTGTGATGTAAACCGCCTCGAATTCAGTCCAATCTCAATCTTACGCTCAAAAACATTTTGAATTCTAACTTCAGTACCTACATATAACGTTACAGTCCTTACACGTGATTATGTGTATAAGCCACGCACGGTCTCACAGTCAGAACCTATCCCGGGACAACTCAAGTTGGGGAGCAGTCTGACCAGATTTAGGCCACGCCTTATTAATTACTTTCTACACGAAATCAAGTTAAATTTGAGTCAAATTTCTCTGACCACTGCTGAACCGAGACTTCCAAACATCATGATCAGCGCCATTTGCCGAACGTCAGCGCGTCCACACCCGAATGTTTTAAACATTTTGGAACAGTCGGCTGGCACAGCCAAACAGCTGCGAACTCCCCCCGAACACAAGCCAACCACAGCCGACCTGCTCCCGATCTAGATGGTTGGGAGTAGTTCGTCAGTGTTCGGGAGGCGATATTCCGTATGTGGCAGGGGCTTTATTTTGATGTTATGCGTCGCTACGACTGACTCGGAACATGCACACCAAGGCCACTCCTATATCCGATGGAAACCTCACCCTCGCAACAGGTCCAATGCAACTATTCACGTATTGTGTGTAGTGCGGTTCACTATTTATGTTGTCAATGGTTTTGTTATTGTTTCTTCTTACATTACTTAAACTGGCTGAAACGTTTTGCCTCCCAGGTCAGACAACACGTACAAACAATTAGCGAACATGTTGGTTCACAACAACTTAACAACATTTACAGGACCATTTCTGATTCAATGTTCCGATTATGTCCGACACGTACATTGAACATTAAGACAAGTTGCTTCAGCTTTCGTAACAGAACTACGTAATAACAGCTTGCTACAATACTCAATTGCCAGAGAAACTTCGGATGAAGACAGTAACACTGAAGTTAGCCAACTGTTCGATGTAAAAGGAATTCTGATATTGTTTAGGCTGTATCATTTTGATAAAGTATGCTATTTTTCTAAAATCTATTTACGTAAACGTTATATAGCTAGTGCCCTCGTCAAAGTGCCGTGAAAGTGTTTGTTTGCTACATTACATACCCACCGATGTTTAGTAGTCAAAAGAAGCAATGCCGGTGTTGTTATTGTATATTCATCACAACCGAGAGGAACATTTGAATAATCACGCACATCCTACTGTACATAGTTGAACATTCATTGTCAGCAAATACCAAATCTTTTGCTGACATGAAATGCCCCGGAATATTAATAGCGGCACATTAAGCTAGTTTCGAATGTCTGACGTAACTCGGACTATTACTAACTAGGCCCAACACCCTGGTCAACTCGGCCCAACACCCTGGTCAACTCGGCCCAACACCCTGGTCAACTCGGCCCAACACCCTGGTCAACTCGGCCCAACACCCTGGTCAACTCGGCCCAACACCCTGGTCAACTCGGCCCAACACCCTGGTCAACTCGGTCAAACTTCAAGCAATTTGGGCCCAAACATATACAGTCTTCTTTACACTCACTAGCATGTGTGTGGTCGGCAAAATATCTACTTCATCTTTTACAAGTTTAGTTAACGTTAAGGCAGACCGGGAATTCGAAAACCTGAAAATAATCAACTGTTTGAACTTGTCTGACGAAATATACTGAGAATGCTAGTATACAGTTATGAAGGAAACGCTTTTTTTATTTTCTGTCCACGAGGCATCCGTCTGGCATAGGGAGTTGGGACAAGTTCGTACCAGAGTGTTAGGCCAGTGACCAGATATGTGTATAAAGGGCTAATAAAGCTCTTATATACCATTACTTACAGACTGTGGGCTTGTCCGCTAAGTCCTGGAGAGTTTTCGCCGACGTTGGATGACCACCGGTTTTAGTGCCACCGGTCCGCCAGTCTTCTAACCAGGTGTGTTAACCATGCAACGGCAGCGCGCACAGGTCAGTGACCTTAGACGTCAGATGTTGACAGAGGAGTCGCATGTCGCAGGGGATGAAAAAAGCTCCAACGTTGGTTCAAACATATCAGTTTCCAACGCAAACAGCTCAACTTTGTCACATGTGGAATACTTTTCCTTGTGTGTGAGTAAATAGTATCCGGTGACATGGTAACATGTATGGTAAAAACTTGACCAACAGCCAGCCTCTCATAGCCTGGGTACCATCCTACTTGTATGCCGGGGCTCCCACACTCGCTTCCCTAACAAGTAGGATGGTATACGTACCCAGGCTAAACGTCTCATGCTCGTATGTTTGATATGGCTTCCGTTATACCCCAATTTCACCCCCATGCTTTGGTCCCAATTGCGCCGGTGCCCGTCGGGGATGTAGCCCCGAGGGGCACCGGCTGTCATACGCGTGGTCGCAATTAAAAGTTTCCTTCAGTGGAAAATGCCTCTTTGATTGATTCAGTGGCATTTTGTTTAAAATGTTGTCACCCTCATTGGTCGGTCTCCGGCAGGTACCCGTAGATGCTCTGACGATATATTGTGGTGACCCACGCAATACACAGTTCAAGGCTTTGTTGTAATCACCTGATCTGTTACGTCACACATTTGACCGTACACACATTTATTCTGTGCATCTAGGTAGTCTGTGACATAACAAATCTGTCACGGGTAGGTCATGGCGTCTTTTTGTCAGAAGGCCCGGGTAGAATTTTTAAAATCTGTCACAGGTAGCTATAGGTCATGGCGTCTTTTTGTCAGAAGGCCCGGGTAGAATTTTAAAAATCTGTCACAGGTAGCTATAGGTCATGGCGTCTTTTTGTCAGAAGGCCCGGGTAGAATTTTTAAATTTCAAATTTCTACTTAACAGAGTTAAATTCTTCTCGGGTCCAGGACGGGCCCCAAAATAGCCCGGTATACGTAGCCGCAGGATGTCCCGCGGGGCCACGTAGGGGCCGCACCCGAAAGTGCCCAAAAAAAAAAAAAACCAGCCCGGCAACTACCCGGCCGGCAGATCCCCTTTTCCTGAATTGGTACCAAAGCTTTAGCGGCGCTGTCGCTGCGCTCTCTCTGCGACCTATAGTGATAATTGGCCAGAGCGCGGAGAGAGCGCCGAACTCCACGTAAAACGGGCTCAATTGGAATCTTCCGGCGACATTTCTGTGCTCTCTCTGCGCGACCAAAAATTCAAATCTCATCAACTTTTATGGGCGACCAACGATGTCATAGCTCACTCAACGAATTACGTACGGAAATAGAGAATGAATGTTTGTTTTATTGTTTTCACAGCCATATTCTTGTACATCTTACTCTCCAAGCAGATGTTTGGGTTTTTGGCGTGGTTTTAGGCTTTTTTTTCGGGGTAAAGAGCCTGAAAACAGAGAATCAGGAAATAGAGAATGAATGTTTGTTTTATTGTTTTCACAGCCATTCTTGTACATCCTACTCTCCAAGCAGATGTTTGGGTTTTTGGCGTGTTTTTAGGCTTTTTTATCGGGGTAAAAAGCCTGAAAACACGCCAAAAATAATCCAATATAGCGTAATTAAAATAAGGCCCCCATTCTACTCAGACGGCGCTCTCACTGCGCTCTCTTTGCGACCTGAAATTGGTCGGAGCGCGGGGAGAGCTTCGTGAGAGCGCCAAGGTCGCCATGTTTTGAACTAAATTGTAAATCTAAATGGGACAGTTGCCCAGTACGCTCTCATGCATGGCGCTCTCTCTGTGCGCTCTCTCTGCGTTCATTGTTGCATGGGTTGCCGCCTCAGCGCTTTCACGGCGACGGTATGAGCCGCATCAAGACAGTCGCCGAGCCGGACGGCGCTCATGGCGCTCTCATGATCTCTCATGGCGACCTGAGCGCTCTCACGGCGCTCTCCGACCAATTTCAGGCGCAGCGGAGAGCGCGATGAGAGCGCTTAGTGGAATGGGGGCCGCTACTTTTAGGCCGTGTTGATTTGATTATATGGAACTCCAAAACAACTGATGCGAACGTGCGAAAAAAAAAATGGCAAAAAAGCCTCTATACATATCTACGTGGTCACGAATGTTGAAGACATGACTAAACTCACAGAGAAAATACGGTATGGCGAATAAAATCTCTGACCTCCTGTGACCTTCGCTCAAACTTTTGTGTAACCTTAAGCTTAGTAACTACATAGCAGAACAATCTGTTTGTGCCATCGCTGTTCTGATATCGATTCTGAACAGGTTTGTGTACTATTCAGGTCTAGTTTAGGTCTTCTCTATTGCCCAAATCAGGGATGCACAACGCAAGTCTCTCTCAGTCTAGAGGGTCAATAATATTAAAATGTTCCGTTCCACACGGAACAGTGTACGAATAACATCAAGTTCCTGGTCCAAAGGATTGTCAGAATGGAAGTCCAAATATAGGTCATTCCATCCTTTAGACCACAAACTTCGTGTTCCGTACGTACAATGTTCCATTTTCTTCAGTTGGCTGCATCACCCCACATTTCCGCTAGGGAGCACCTATGAATACCTGCAGCTGATTACGTCATTTCCGCTATAATCTTTCTACCTTCGAACACTGGTAACAACAGGGGAATCGCACTTTGCTTATTTCTTATAGACACAAGACGTCCGAAGGTTGATGATGAAGAGATCTGTTCTGCTCGTGTCCGTGTTCTTCCTGCTGATTGTGGTTCTATTCGCCGATTATGTGTCGGCTGAGGTGAGTACAGTACTAACGTTACCAACATCCACCCCCCCACCCTAATCTCCAAGCAGATCCCTATCGGTGGCAAAAGACAGACAGTTACTGATATCCATTAGCCAGAGTTTAGCTCGCCACCGACGGTGGCCGCGGACCTTCTCTGGCTAATGGATACTGCCTGGCCAATTTGATACTGTATTTTTGCCACCGATAGGGATCTGGTTGGAGATTACCCCCACCCCACAGTCATCATGCAAACAATCAGACCCTTTTGACAGGATAGTTTAGCCGAATAAGAACAAAATATGCAAGAGGTATTATACCCACTGTAACTTGTTATCGAGCAAAATAAGTCTAACTTAAGAGTTTATAGGTACTGTTTTGGATGTGAAGGATATAACGTTATATATTTGACATAACACATAATAACATTATAGGTAGAAGTAAGGGTCTTGGTAGCCGTGGAGACTCTTGATTCGGGCTTACATTGCATTACCCTCTGCAAGAGTCGTGGAAAGATCCATTGGCAGAACTGCACATTTCGCGTTGGCTGCCCGATGCTCCATTTTTACCCGGTTTTTTGCTGTCCTGAGCTTCCCTACAATGTAACTCCACAATTGGCCGGGTTGCCGATGTTCAGATCGGCCTAAATATTCCACAGCGCGACCACAAACTACTTAATCTCACTTATTTACGAACCAGGCGGCCATCTTGTATATAGTCGGGAATGTCCGGTGCAGCCGTCGGGAACGCTCAGTAGGCTCTCCGGTTATGATCGGAGAGTTTTCGGTCGCGCTTCGGTAATCGTGACGCTATCGAGCGTTCCCGACAGCGGTAGCGGACATTCCCGACTATATACAAGATGGCCGCCCGGATGGAAAAACACCGATGTAAACTGTCGCGCTGTGGAATATTTATGCCGATCTGAACATCGGCAACCCGGCCAATTGTGGTTTTATACTGTAGGGAAGCTCGGGACAGCAAAAAAAACGGGGCAAAAACGGAGCATCGGGCAGCCAACGCGAAATGTGCAGTTCTGCCAATGGATCTTTCCACGATGTAATGCAATGTAAGCCCGAATCAAGAGTCTCCACGGCTAGGGTCTTGGTAGCAGGGGCAAAATCATGCACTAATTTTTCTGTGTTACTAATAGTGTACATGTGTACATCCACGTAGTTGTAACATGTTTTTGTCCTTTCCTTCCCTCAGGGCCAGTATGATGACAGGAGATGTAAGTGTGTGTGTCCTCCTCGAGTCATCAACAACGTCACCAGGAAGGTCTATCTGAAGAACAACATTGCCAGGGACGATTGGTGCGTAGGGCGCAGAATGAGCTGGGCTTTTTTGGCAATGCCTTTCACTTTGGGAGGAGCTTTCAGATATGACACAAAATTAGGCTCTATTTAGTATTTATAATTATGGGTTCACCACACCACGAAGTGGTGGTGAACCCATATTGCTTTTTCTGATGTTTCTTCTTCTTCTTCTTCTTCTCCTCCTGCCATTTTTTAAAATGGATTCAGCTTCTTCATTTTAGGGCCCAAGGTCCTGAAATTTGGTATGGAGGTACAGTGGGCAAATACCCCTAGGCGTTTTTAAATTTTTGTG